CCACTACTCGGTACTGTGGAATTGGATGGTAGGACTGACTAAGAAGGGCACATGGCTGGCTACCCAGAAGAAGTGTTGATTTAGCACATCTCTTGGGCAGCTTCATCAAGGGGTTCTTTTGGTGTCCCACATATAATTTTAAAGCTGCCCTCCACATGTGGAACCCCAGAAGAAGGTGATGATATTTGCAGAGCACCTGCTTTTGTGGATGAATCCCTTTGTGCCACCCAGATCTGCCTGGGGGCTAATCTATCTTGGTATACTGGACTCCTGAATACAAAATTTAGGATTTTTTTTTTTAATTAATAGGCAAAACTTGCTTGTTTGTGCAGATTCTTTATTTTTATGGTCGTTTTTTGGTTGCATGGCAGCTTTCTGGATTTCTTCACCAGTGATGTACTGGCATATAAAATGTCATAGACTTTAAGCCAGAAGGGTCCACTAAATTATCTAGTGTAACGTCCTGTATATTGTAGACCACTAATACCACCCAGCACCTGCACACTAAACCCAGTAACTGAAATGAGACCAAAGCATTATAGCCCACGGGAGACTGGACTGTTATGTGTCACAGGAAGAGAATCAGAAGGAGGAAGATGTGGCCAAGAAATCTGTGTGGCTATTAATTTCTTTCCACTTGCTTGGAAAAAGCATATTATGTGATCCTTGGGACACCTCCACTTAATGCTAAACATATCTTTCGTGACTGGAGCCACTTATGCACTTCTTCTAACTGATGACCTTGCTTTTCGTTAACCTGTCACATGCTGCGACTTTTTAGAGGGTTAAAGAAATGGCTGCATTCATCAATAAAAAATCCTTAACAAATTATTGCACTACTTAGTAACAGAAGTCCATCATTAGATAGGACATGATAACTGTCTACTTGTATTTGGAGGGTGTAAGAAAGTGATTGTTTAAGGATTGTTTACAGTGGGGTAAAACTGGTAATGACTGTAGACCTGGAAGAATTTTATCATTGTGAGGTCTACTAGACAGTGGGATAATCTCCCTCGAGAAAGGATGGATGCAGTGCTTGAGACTCTTAAGACTAAACTGGACAATGACTGAACAAATATACTGTTGGGAACAATCCTGCACTAACAGTGCGGGTGGGCTAGGTGACTTAGTACCTCTTCTCCAAATCTAAAATTCTCTGATTTCTACTATGTATTATTTCAGTACATAAGATAAAAATTTAATTGTTTGATTACTACAGTGCATCCTACATGGGGTCATGCCTGAAAATCACTTTCAGTGTTCAACTTGTACAGCATGTGGTGACTTGTCGTCTGCTTAATGGAGTGAATCAGTGTGAATGCATTACAGCTGTGCTCTGTAAGATGTATTAGTATCTAATGTGCTTTGAGAGTATCTACAGGATTTTAGTTCTAATCTTGAATCATATATAGTTTGGGACCTGTCTTCCTTCGTTCCTGGTAACTCAGCATTCTCAAAGTCAATGCAAGCTAGGGGGCTCAGCATCTTTAGGGACTGCTTCTCTCCTTCTGCACCAGATGGACCTCTAAAAGACATTTGATTTAGTACTACATGACATTATGATTAAAAAAGTTAGCAAAAATCAATATGGGACGTATTAAGGGTAACTAACTGTTAGCTCTCAAAATATAATTGTTAATACAGAATCATCATTAAATGGATTTATTTCTACTGGAGTTCTGCAGAGATCAGTTCTTGGCCCAATCATATTTAATATTTTTATCAATGATCTTGAAGAAAATATAAAATCATTGCTTACAAAATTTATGGATGACACAAAGAATAGTGGTGTAGAAAATACAATCCTGAGGACAGGTCAGTTATGCAATGCAATCGGTATCACTTGGCAAACTGGGCACAAATGAGCATTTTAATATAGCCAAGACAAAGTAATACATCTAGTAACAAAAAATGTAGGCCAAGCCTACAGAATGAGGGACTGAATACTGAAAAGCATGACTGAAAAGTATATAGGGGTCCTGATGGAAAAACAAATGAACTGTGCAATGCTGTAGTCAATCCTTAGACATGTAAACAGGGAAACACTGAGCAGAATAGGAAGGTGTCATATCTTTTTACATGGCACTGGTAAGGTTACTACTGAAACTCTGCAGTGTTACACAATTTGCAAACTTTTAGCAGTATTAGTAAGATTACACAGAAGATAGCCATCTATAAAACCATTTTCATGCCCTCTCTGAATTATTCAAAACTAATTTTATTGAATATTACTCTACCAATGGTGCATGCATAATCCTAGATTATAGAAATAGATTGGGATTTAGCAGTTTAAACATGCTGTCATCAATATAAGAGAAAATTACGATTATGGCTTTATTTATGGCTCTTCAATGGAAACTTGTATTTTTCAGTTGAATTCTGTTATAAGATTGCAGAATGATACAGATGTCCATACTCATTACAAGTGTAATGACAACAGCTCAAAATATACAACTTCTTTTAAAAGCATTTTGTACCAGTTCAATGAATCTAGTAATTTTGCATTGGAAGAAAAGTACATAAAGTCCTCAATTTACACTATAAATGTTATTTATAGCACCAGTAGATATTGCATCGACAATGTGGACTGAATCATCCATAGAGTGATGATCAGAGCCATAAAATGAAACTGTTTAACAACTTACCACAAATTAAAATGAAACTGGCTAGTTTCACTTTAGAAACTGATTTCTGAAAAAAATCCATGGTGGCATGGATGGTGTTCTGAGGGAGGTTGTTAATGTTGTGGAGTTTCTGGTGAAAGTTGGTTGTGTCTTGGAGGAAGTTGGCTCTTTGTGTGGTGAGTGGTTTGAGAACTGTTTCTATGAGTTCTGATATTCCTTCAGTAAGAGTGCCATGGCCACCTATGATGGAGCTGCCTGGGTTCCCTTGTTTGTATATCGTGGGAAGCATGTAGAAGGTCCCTGGTGGAATTGTGGGAGATGAGGTTGTAGAGTTTCTCTTGGAATTGTTTTCAGGCAGGAGTTGATGAAATCCTTAAATTCCTGGGTAAACTGTGCAGTTGAGTCCTCTGAGTTCTTCATAGTAGATGGAGTCAGAGAGTTGTCAGTTGGCCATGTTGTGATAGCAAATATTGTCAACGTAGCAGAGTTCATATGAAAATGTCTGAAAAGAGTTTTGTAGATTAAATCCAAATTTCTTCGTAACTAAACGTGCATAATTGTTCCAAGTCTTTCACTGCTAAGAAATGTAAGCCTATGTTTCTTGTTGCTAATGTCTGAGACAAATTCTGCATCAGACTTTGGGGAGACAGGAAGCTCTATTAAAATTTGAGACTTTGATGGCAGGCAAGTGGATTTTAAAAGACTAAATTTCTTTGAGGCTTTATTTATAATTCTCTGAAATTACTCCTGGGGATAAATTGTCATTGAGCTTTTCTAAATAATAGTTTTTAATGAACTGTTATATTGATTTTCTTGATGAAGGAATAAGATAACTCTTATTGTGGGCTAGAATGGCCTAAGATAGAGCTACTTGCAACTCAAAGACTATAATTAATTAGAGATCACGTCATATAAATTGCCATTGTGAGAAAAGTGTGCTTTTGGAGCATATTCTAGTGTAGTGGAAATGTATCGTTTGCCTGCTTATAGCCTATTAATATACTACTGGTACAAATCTCTCCCCATTCTAAAGAATGCGTTTCTGCTTAGAAATAAATTAGCCATAGCTGCTGGAGATGTTTCGGTAATAAAGGTACCAGCTACCCACAGACACTTTTTACCTGCATATACATTGCACTGCAATAGAACTTCCCTCCCCTTCGCTGTACCCCCAATGTAGTGCATTTGGAAACCAGAAATTAGGTTTCAGCATGGTGAATTATTCTTTCAGATGCTGAAATGGTTCCAAAGATGATACTTACAGAAAGGAAAGTGCAGTGGAAGAAGCATCAGTTTTCAAAATACATCTTATAACAGCACCTCATCATCACCAGGCGCAGCTACGGCATTCCACTGCCTTGAGACAAAATCTGTTCTGATTTACACCTGTGCACCTCCTGCCTTTAATAGAGAAGGGCAGTGGTGTATCCCCACTTACATTTAAAAAGTGTGACACGCCTCCTGCTTCCCCCCAGCTCCCTGCAGCCCGACACTGCCCCAGTACGGGGCAAGCCGCAGCCGACATGGGACGGGTGACACAGGGTCCCACCGCCCACGCGCTGGGAGCGCCCCCTGTCTGCCAGCCACACCGTGGGGCAGAGCCCCTCTGAAAGCAGGCGAGAGAACGCAGTGCTAAGGCGGAAGGGGCGGGAAGGGGTGTCTCTTTCCCTTTAAGAGAGCCACGCCTCCCCACTGACGTCCAGTCTCCGAACCAATAGGAACGGCCCGGAGGGGAAGGCGGGAGAATGCGAACCCCTCACAGCGCCGCCAGCCGCGCCTTATTAGGGCAGGGCCTCGCGCATGCGCAAAGTCCACTGTGCGGCCGGGGGCGGGGGCTCAAAGTGGTTTGCCTCGGCAGCGGCCGGGGAGCTAGGGCGGGGGGAAGCCCAGGGACCCCGGGACCTGCCCGTCCCGTGGGGGCAGCGGCGGGAGCAGAGCCCGAGCCGGCCAGCCCCGTACGCCGCCTGCAGGGAGCCGCGGCGGGAGGGCCCGGGGATCCGGCCCAGGGGGGCGCCCCCGGCAGGGTGTGAGCGCCGGGAGGGAGGGGGCGGCCGGGCCCTGGGGCCGGGGGTGCATGTGCTGCTGGCGCGGGGGGATGATGCTGGGGGGGCCGCAGCTGGTGCCGGGCCCGGCGGCGCTGGCGGGGCCCGGCGGGGAGCGGGCCCGGCTGCTCTCGCTCTACGTGCAGGACTATCTGGAGTGTGTGGAGTCGCTGCCGCTGGACATCCAGCGCAACGTGTCCCTGCTGCGGGAGCTGGACACGCAGTGCCAAGGTGAGCGCGGGCCGGGGCCGGGGCCGGGGCCGGGCCCGGCCGAGTCCCGGCTGGGAGGGGGAGACGCGCCCTCCGGGCCGAAGGGGGCGGAGTCCAGCCTCTGAGGCGCGGGCCGGGGGGATGCGGGGCCCGGCTCCGCGGTTGCGGGGCCGGGGCTGGTTATTGGCCCCAGGGCGGGCCGGGCTTGGCGGAGCCGATCCCTCCCGCCCGCTGCCTCAGCCCTGTCACCCCCCGCGCTCGCTTGGAGAGGCTCCGGGGCCGCGGGAAGCCCCCCGTCCCTGCTGCGGCTGGGGAGGGAGCGGGCAGCGCGGGGCTTCAGCACCCCGGGGAGTCGAGGGGCGGCGGCTCCTGTATCTCTCTTCCACTCCCGCGTCCGGTAGCTACGGGAACCCCCGTAGCTGGGGGTGGAGGAGCCCTTCTGTGTGCGGCGAAGCTGGCTCTGAGAGGCCGAGCCCCTGAGAGTGGCTGAGAGGGGTCTCCGCTCTGCCCCAGCCTGGGCAGGGTGACATGTGCTGGCCGGCGACTCGTGCGTGGGCAAGTCTCTGAGCTGCTCGATGTTATGTCTGTGTTCCGGTGGGACGATCATCTGCCGAGGGGGGCTTGAGGAGGAGTGCTGTGGAAGGGCAAAATAGCACTTACTCTTGGCCCAGAGCAGAGAACCCGCCTCCTTAGAAAGTTTGGTAAAATTCCGCTTGGCTGTTTTGAGTGGGTGCTCGAGAGCCTAGGTCTTTATCTGCAACTGCAGAGGCACGGTGGACTTAAGACATCCCCTCTGAGGATCAAGGAATTGAGTTTAGAAGTAATGCTGCAAGCAGGTTCGACTAATTACAGTATATTTATCTTTCTAGAAAAGAATCTGGGGGAGGGTCACCGTATTGAAGAAACTGATGTATAGGTAGCTTATGGTTAATTTAGATATGTTTGGTAATACCTTCTAAACGGCTTTAAATTAATCTTAGCCTTATTTGTTCATTTTAACCTTTCATAGCTTTTCTCCATCTCTTCATTCTGACAAGCTGTTCTTTCGAGAATCGCATCCTGCTATGATTTTATTAGATTGCAGTTCAGTTCCCAGTGTATATGCTGTCTGGGGTTTTGTACGCTGTAGTGTGAGGCACACTAGGCTGTGAAATTGCTCCTTGCAGAGTTTGCTTGTCCCTTAACCTCACCACACTTGGAACCTCACATTTAGCATGATCTGTAGGGTAAAGTGTGCTGTGGGATGGAGATGTATGAAATTCTTGGATGAAAGGTAATGTAACTTCTAAGTGTTTTACCTCTAGTTTTACAAATGGGGATGGGGAGGTTGTGGAAGTGGCACAGGGTTAAGGAATTGACATGGGTATTGGTTAGTCTCTAAGGTGCCACAAGTACTCATTTTTAGTAAGGCAATGAAAGACTTCCAGTTCTATCTACTAGGCTGTACAGTGCAGCATGACTGAATGCACAACTGAATAGTTTGGTTCAAATGAACCTCTCTGAATGTGGACTGCACCAGAATTTTTCTTTTATAAAGAACTTATTTGTATTATCATAGTATATAGGAGTTCACCTTACAGACAAATGTTTCTTAAATTGAGCAATAATGTAGTGTTGGGACTCTTAAAAGTGCAAGTCATTCATAGTTCCCACGACAGCTGTAAGTTAGTTACTCTGTATGTATGTTGAGGCATTAGTTTATCACAGGGGTCGGCAACCTTTTAGAAGTGGTGTGCTGAGTCTTCATTTATTCACTTTAATTTAAGGTTTCGCGTGCCAATACTACATTTTAACGTTTTTAGAAGGTCTCTCTCTGTAAGTCTATATATTATATAACTAAACTATTGTTGTATGTAAACAAGGTTTTCAAAATGTTTAAGAAGCTTCATTTAAAATTAAATTAAAATGCTGATCTTGCACCACTGGCCCGCTCAGCCCGCTGCCGGCCTGGGGTTCTGTTCACCTAGGCCAGCAGCAGGCTGAGTGGGACCTGCAGCCGGGACCCTGGCTGGCAAGGGGCTGACAGGCAGAACCCCAGACCGGCAGTGGGCTGAGCGGCTCAGCCCGCTGCTAGTCTGGGATTCCGTCCGCCGGCTCCTGTCAGCCAGGATCCTGGCTGCCGGCCCCGCTCAGCCCACTGTCGGCCAGGATCCCAGCCCTGTCCACGTAGAGTAGGTACCTCCTTTCTCCCTGGTTCTGGCCCATTCTCTTACCCTCTCTGCACTGAGAGGAGGGTGGGAGTGCTCTGAGAACAGGGCTGGGGGTGAAGAAGCAGGCTGGGGGTTGGGGTGCAGGGTCTGGCCAGGAGCTAGAATGAGGGAGGGGGCTCAGGGTTGGGGAAGGAGATTTGGGTCTGGAGCGCTTACCTGGGAAGCTCCCATTTGGTGCAAGGGGTGCAGGTGGGAATGTGGGTGTGTGTGTGTGCAGGAGCTCCTGTTGGTGCGAGGGGTGGGGATGAGGATGTGGGGGTGCAAGAGTCAGGGCATGGGGTGGGGGGGGACTGGGTATGTGGGGGGTGGGTGCAGAAGTCAGGGCTGGGGTCGTGGGGATGCTCCTTGAGCGGCTCACAGCACGGGGCTGGAGGGGATATGCCGATTCCACCCCCTTCCCCAATGTCCCTGGAGCAGAGAGCTTGCTGTGGCTCTGCTTTTCCCTCTTGTGCTCCGTAGCAAGGGCCCCCGCAGGGAGGGAGAGAAGGAGGAGCAGGAACCCTGCACACTGGGGGAAGAGGCAGGGGGAGGGGGAAGCTTGCCTGCCCTGCAAGGAGAGAGTGGTGGGTGGAGAAGAGTGGGCTGGGCCGGGCAGGATTTTTAATAGCACGCTGCTGGCAGACAGCAGTGTGCCATTAAAAATTGGTTCGCGTGCCATAGGTTGCCGACCCCTTGTTTATCATATGGTAATACTCATTGACAAGGTAAAGAGTCAAAAGTCTGTTTATAAAACTACATTGAATATAAACACAATTAACATTCACTTCATTGGGATGTGAGGTCACATGCTTGACCCTGATCACTCTAAAGAATTGGTAACAAGGAATAATCAAACTAGTAACATTGTCTTATTCAAATCCTTCGTTAAACATTGGAAGAGATTTGTAGTACAGCAAAACAATCTGAGCAGTCATTAAAATGTTATCTGCAACTGTAGTGTAAATTAAACATATATTTAAAACATTCCATTCCAGACAAACTATTCAGATTCTTGTTTGGGCTATCCTAAAGCCCTTCATTCTAATTATTGCTGGGATCTGTAACTCAGTGGAGTTATCAGCTGAAAGATTGAAGAGATACCAGATTGAATCAAAAACTTATTGCTAGGATGGTGGAGTTCCAATCCTTATGATGTATCAACTAAAAGGCTAGAGAGAGCACAACTGGATACATATTACCCAGCTTTGTAACAAAATATTATTCATATTTGGGTGAAAGGAGATATTTCAGTTGTGTCAATTCTCTTAAGGTGGCCTGTATGGCAATTGAAAAGGTGTTCTTTGAATTTATCATTCTAATTCATCAGGAAAGATGCATGAGACTAGGCTTTTGTAAGCTTTCTGGAATCCAGAAAGCTTACAACTATCTTATTTGCTGAGGTACACTGAATCCTGTTGTAAAGGTCAAACAGTTTCTCTTAACCACACAAGCTTATGTGGATGTTCCTGTGCAACCACTTTCTGAATCCTTGGTAGATTCAATCTCTAAGAAATGGTATGTATTCTTGTTGCATACGTTAATGTGAAATTGTTTCTCTGTTGATCTTATAGCTAGTTATGACTTTTTATATATTTTTATTGCTTTTTGAGGACATTGAACCTCAGAGGATTTTCTCCAAATATTCCCGGATGAGTTTGAAGACATTTTGATATCATGGCTAGTATAATTTAGATCATTTAAAAGTTGTTGGTGTTGCTTCATGGGGGGGGGGGGGAGAGGGAGGGTGTCTGACCTTTAGTCAGACAGTATCGGTCTTGCATGATGATCAGTCTAAAGTGATCTCTTGGGGGGGGGGGGGTGTTAAACTTATGACAGGAGGCAAGCATTAATTCTTGCTCTACATGATGGCTGAATTGCAGTTGCCAAGAGCCATCGCTCTGAAAACCCTGATTTTTATGCTTTTTCGCTTTTAACTATAATATTTCAGTATCTTGAATTTATTTTTCCTCTGAATGTTTTTTGCTCTTGCTTTTGCTATAAAGAAGCAGCATCAGTGACTGGTGGTGGTGGAGCTGGAGTCTAGGAGCTTGGGAAAAGAGGGAAGGAACCTGGTGTGTGTTGTCCCTTGTCTCAAACTCTAAGAAATAGAGAATGTATGCTTTTTGTAAATTGCATTGCAAGAATAAATTTAAAAGCTACCTTATATCTGGCTTTTGTTCCCAAATCAGCAATATACAGGTTGAAAAGGCTCTCAAGAAAAAACTCTGGCCTTTTACAGAAATGCTACATTATGAAAAATAGCTTAACCTGTAGTGTAAACTGAGGTACAGCATCAGGTAATCAAATACCATCAAAGTATCTAACCCAAGGAAGCCTAGACAAGTGGTCTGTCAAAGACAGTAGAACGGTACCAGCAAGTAAACTGGCTTTCAGATTTGGTTTCCCGTAACTAACTGTATAGAACTGACTTTAGTAAGGGTGGACTGAATGTATTGCACCTCTCTCCCAGTCCTCCAGGAAACTAGGTTAGCTATTTTCCCCCAGGTCCCATTTAGTGTCTTCCCTCCCCACAAAAATAACATTTTGTTAGTTTTGAGAGGGCTGAACCACCAAGTGCTACAGCAGCCTCTTGTTGTGGGGGGGAAAAAGCACAACTTTGTCCAGGCTAATTTAAGTTTAGAAAGTCTGGAGAAATCACACTGTTTTGAATAGATAGGGAGCTCAGGTAAGTGAGATTTGAATGATTTGAAGTCCTGTTAAATTTGGTTAAGCTTGAAGAAACTATCTGTAGATAAACATGGTGGAGTAATTAAGGTATGCACCCAAGGAAAAAAGGGGACATCCTAATTTTGTGGTGGTCCCTTCCTCTACTCTTACCCATTTATATTTTAATATCTGGACAAGGTCCTGTTTTAGGCTTGGTCTGCATGGTTTTTATAATTACATTACTATGTTGGTTATAAGTGAGATCTTTTGTCTTACGAATATAGATGCAGTTATACTGGTATACTGTGCTTTATGCTGGTGGTATATCTTATTTTCTTCCCATATGAGAATAAGCTATATAAGCATATTTATACTTGGTATAATTGTGTCCAGACTAGGAGAGTTGTACTGCTTTAACTATACTAGTATTGTTAAAGCCATATGATTTTTGTGTAGATTTGGCTTATTATTTCTGTACTCTGGGTCAGAACACAATGTGTACTTACCTAAAGTAGTTGCATATATTCAGGAGTGTATACTGTCTCCATCCCTCACCCCATTTCGGTTAAAAGTTGCACTAAAGGAACACCGTCAAATCAAACTTATACAAAACTTCTTAATGTTACCTAATGCCTTAGATTGTTAAAACTGGAATATTTAAAAACTGGTGCTTGTATGGCTTGCTTCTTGCATTTGTCACGTGAGCAACTGAAATACTAGTCCCATAGTTCTTAAACTGTGGCACCCTTCTTGGGGAGAAATCTTACAAAGTGATCCAAAGAATAAAAAATGGAGAAACGGAAGGCTACCTATTTTCACTCGACCTTCACATGCACTATGTTTCAATGTCTGGGGGCTGGTCTACACTAGGAACTTACATTGGTATAGTTATGTCTCTCGGGGGTGAAAAATTCACACACCCCTAGAGGAGTAGGTATACTAACTTACACCCTGCTTTCCCCACCTGATATAGACAGTACTCGGTTGACGGAAGAATTCTTCCATCGACCTAGGTACTGCCTCTTTGGAAGGTAGATTATCTGGGTGATGGAAGAACCCCTCCCATCTGTGTAGGCAGTGCCTACAAGGTGCCACTGTAGCACTTCAGTGGAAACACCCACTCCCCAGGATCTGCCCATAGAAGAAATCCCCACTGGGGACTTGCAAGTGATATCTCCTTCCCATTTCACCTAAATGGCAAAGGGAGACGCACGGTACAGAGAATCTACTTCAGAGCATTGACTGCAGCCCCATGACCTTTATGAAGTAATATGTTCAGCCTTTAGGCTGAAGAGATTGGACTCAACTGACTTTTTTTGGATGACACTGCTCTAGGATTTCAAGTCCTCTGGGTGGAATAGTGTAGATGACACAATGTCTCGTGTATAGACTTCAAAGGGATGTTGTCAGTTTAAGTTTAGATGTTTCAGAACATGTGTGGTCTTTTTATTACAATGGGAACAGCTGTTACATAAGCTATTTACCTGCATCATTTGCAACTCAGGGTATGTTTACACTGCAAACACTACAGACAAACAAAATATTTACTTACAGGACCGTTGTACCTGTACTTTTTTCCACTGACACTTCAGTAAGTCACAACTCTGTATCTAATATTACCACAGTGACACACTGTGCATAAGACTTTAAAGATGCCATATTAGCAGTTGGCTATTCCACGTTTAGCAAAGCCTTTATCATTGTTTTAAGTGTAATAAAGGTTCTAGGTCACCATGAGTTTGGGGAAGAATACTTCTAACAGAACAAAAGAAAACTGAAGTTCAGTGCACTCATAACTTGCACTGAAGATTCTTTGTTGCTGTTTTGGAAGAGGGAGGCATGAGAGTGCATGATTTGCCAAACCCAAAAAAAGGAGGGGGGGAATAAACCTATACTAAGACATGCAAATGCCTCTAGAAGTTTAGTGAACACTGATTAGTAAAATTATCTTTGTACTGTTGTTGAAAATCTCTTAGGATGCACCAAACATAGAAGATGTGGCCCCTGCCCTGAAAAGTTCACAATCTAAGGCCTTGTCTAAACACAAGTTTAACCAAAATCTGTTTTAAATTGGTTCTGTTAAACCAGTGGAAAAGCTTGTGTGGACGTGCCTAAATTGACTTATAGTTGGCCTACATCAAAGTAGCTTTGTTCATTCACTTTTCAAAGTGACTTCTCATAACTGACTGAAAATTTAGCCCTAAATTAGGCATAAAAAGTCTGTCTTGAACAAAATATGGTAGAAAAAAGCTAAACTTATTGGTAAAACTGACTGTTCTTAATTGGTTTCAGAGTAGCAGCCGTGTTAGTCTGTATCCGCAAAAAGAACAGGAGTGCTTGTGGCACCTTAGAGACTAACAAATTTATTAGAGCATAAGCTTTCATGGGCTACAGTCCACTTCATTGGATGCATAGAATGGAACGTATAGTAAGAAGATACAGATAAGTTGGAAGTTGCCATACAAACTGAGAGGCTAATTAGTTAAGATGAGCTATTATCGGCAGGAGGAAAAAAAACTTTTGTAGTGATAATCAAGATAATTTGGCCGATTATCCCTAGACATTGTAGATGGACGCTTTTCTATTATGGAATAGCAAAAAAACCCCACACCCCATATAATAAAGCAACACTCTTAATATTGCATATTTTAATCTATCCTATTACTGTTCTTTGGCAAAAGTGAGCTATGCACGACTATAATTCATTGGTGGATTGCTGTGCATTACAAACACTGCTTCAGTGCCCTTTGAGGTTAGGTTAATCTTATATAAAGATAAACTGAGACACAGAGGCTATTTAACTAGTCTTTGGCAGAGCAGTAAATCTTGCTTTAATCATTACAGAAATTTCCCCCTTCTATTGTCTTTACCACTGGATGGGCTAAGGAATTGCTAACTCTAAATTCCTGGCTTGTCAGTTGGACTCTTTAACTATTGCAATCTAGCATATACCAAGGATTCTTGCCAGTTGTGTACTAGTCTTTCCAGTGTCTTGAATAGCTTTTTTTTTTTTGTTCCTTACAATTTGCAAAAACTCTATTGCAGCAGACTGTTCTGTTGATCATTAAATCAGAGTTCCTTATCTGAGGGCCTGTCTTATAGTAGCACTAAATATTGAATTTATTCCATGAATGTAGGCTATAGGTCAAGTTTTCTGCTAACTGAAGTATATGGTATGCATGTTAGACTGAACTACCGCTTGGAATAAATGTATCTACATTTTCTTGATCCACTTTGTGATGCATAATTCTTCCTCTCTCCCCCCTTACTAAAAATTTGTGCTGATTCTTCTTTTATAGAAGCATTAAAAGAAATCGATGATGTCTATGAGAAATATAAGACAGAAAGTGATCCCATTCAGAAGAAACGGTTGCAACAGCATCTTCAGCGAGCACTAATCAACAGCCAAGAACTGGGAGATGAGAAAATTCAAATAGTTACTCAGATGCTTGAACTGGTAGAGAATAGGGCCCGGCAAATGGAGATTCACTCTCAGTGTTTCCAAGAGTCAGATAACGAAAAGCCTCTAGAAAAGGCAAAAGTGGAATCTTGCCAACCAGAAAGATCTTCACGTAGACCCCGTCGCCAGCGGACTAGCGAAAGTCGTGATCTGTGCCATATAACAAATGGGATTGAAGACTGCGATGACCAGCCACCTAAAGAAAAGAGATCCAAATCGGCCAAGAAAAAGAAACGCTCCAAGGCCAAACAAGAAAGAGACGTTTCACCTGTTGAATTTGCAATAGATCCCAATGAACCAACTTACTGCTTATGTAACCAAGTGTCCTATGGAGAGATGATAGGATGTGACAATGAACAGTGTCCCATTGAGTGGTTTCATTTTTCATGTGTTGGACTCACCTATAAACCAAAGGGGAAATGGTATTGTCCCAAGTGCAGAGGAGATAATGAGAAAACTATGGACAAATGTACTGACAAATCAAAAAAGGATAGAAGATCGAGGTAGTGAATGCTATAAATGTTTTAAAGGGTTCTGTGTCTTTTATATAAAAATTGTTTAATTTACAGAGAACAATGTTTTAGGAAAAATGCATAAGACTATGCAATATTTTTTAATCTATAGTATTAATGGAGTGTTAAAATCTGTTAAACTTTCTGTGATCTTTAACTTTCTGCACTGAATAACCAAATAATTAAAACAGGGTGGCCTCAGAACTGCACAGATGGAATTACAAGTAGTGTTGTGGGGTTTTTTGGTTTTGTTTCATTTAAACTCCCTGTTGTGTTAGCATTTAAAAAAAAAATCCTGAAATTAATGGTGGTGGGGAAGCACTGAAAGACTGGTCGTATTACAGTAATGGTATTTAACCTCTCTAGCACTGTTTCACAACCTCGGACAGTTACTAGAATCTCCATTTGTTGTGAACATTACATAATATCTGGAGCGGGGGTTCAAGAATTCAGCTGTTAACTGTAAAATAGTCTTCCAAGCTAGAAAGCAACCTATTTCTTCAGTGGCTTTCATATGATGAATGTATTATTTCCAGGAAGAAAATGCCACTAATTTATGCTTTTTATGTCAATATTAAACTGTTGCCTTGGTGACTTTACACTTGGGAGTCAGTTTCTGGATAGGGTAGCAATTATGGTAGTCTTGAACTTGACTGTCTTGTGTATACTTCTTTTGCATGTCTTTCGTAGAAGGATTCTAGCAAGCATCCTAATGGGGTTTCCTTTAGTCCTGATTTTAAGTGGTGTGCAGGAGTGCTAGTCTGTCGTGAGGCTCTTTTTCTTGCACCACTGGAATTCTGTATCACTCTGCAATGCAGAATTTGTGCAGGATTAATATTCAGCATATAATTTTAATTTTTCCTGCAGAACTTGTGATTTCCTCTGCCCCCCTGTCCAGGCTCCCACTGTCAAAATTATGATGTTTTGATGAAATACGCAATTTTTAAAATATTATGCACAAATTTTTTTATTTTTTTGGCACAGAATTCCCCCAGGAATATCACTTCTCTGATATTTCTGTGCTTCACAATTGCCACTATGCTATGTCTTGCTGCTACCTCTACAAGTCTTGAGTTGGTGCTGGCAGAGGAATATTGATAAACTCAGCTCCTCAAGTTTATGTAGATGTGCAAAATATGATTGCACATGCTTTGCTGGGCTCCTCAAACTTGACCTCCACTTTAGTGGAGTTAAGATATATCCATGGACAGACCTGGATTAAGGCATAGGTGTGTGCCTGTGGCTGCAGCTCCCAGAGTCATATGAGCGTGAGATTGAAAGGTTTCCATCCCCCAGATATATGAAAAGCTTGAAAATATGACCAGCAACTCTATGTAACACATGCAACGATGTCTGTAGGAAACCTCCAAGGGCTTTTCTAGATTGTTGCTTTAAAACACTTCAGCCAGCATGGTTTTTAAACACCTCTTAGCATCTAGTATAGACAAAGACATTATGGTTTAAAAGCAGACTAACTGGCTTTACTCCTAAGGGAGGCTGGGAAGTAGGGAGGTGCAAAGAGCTGGTCTCTTTCAGGTGGAAAGGAGTGCAGCCCATGGAGAAGATAAGCTCATGGTGGGTCTTGTATTTGTCCAGGAATGTGGCATTCTGAGGAGCCTTCCGAAGAGAGGGACCCAGAAGCTACTGGGTGCATGATATGGGTTTGATATTCACAGTATCCATGAAGCCACTTCTCCAGTAGCCTGCTTCCTTGGTGACTTCTTGGTCCCTAATGCTCTTCTGCATTCCAAATTTCCTTCTAAATTAGGCAAAGCCAGCAGTTGCAGCCTTACGCTGCCACTTGTAAGATGGCCACTTCTGTCTTTCCTAGCTGGTAAGTACCTGTTACGTTTCTCTTTTTATTGGTGAGAAGATGCCCCTTTCTTACCCACAAGCCCAATGCACCGTTATGTTGATTGCAGATTGCCACGTCTCTCACAAGCTAAATAATTATAAATTAAATGGGGGTGATGGTCCAGGTACTTCTCCACAGGCTTGTCTTAATCTGTGGGTCTGTATGTATTCAGGAAATTTTCAAATACTATTGCTAGCTATATAAAATGTGCTATGATATTGTGGGTAGCTTAGTGAAAACATACTTATTTTGGATTCTGAAAGGGGAAAGTCCTACTATTTGGATATTTCAGTTAAACCTTTATTTTGAAAAGTTTAATGTTAAGCATATAGTATTAGGAAAGCACTTAGCTATGTCAATATCCCTTCCAATTGTCCCCAGATTACTAAGGGTAATGTGTACTGGTCTGAAATGAACAGTTAACCCCAAAATGCTACATTAACCCAGTTTAAGCAATTGTGCATCTTTTTTTCGTGCTTTGGCTGATGATGCTTCAAAGGGAGTATGGTTTGTGAAATCGGAGTATATTTAGCACACTATTCAACTGACAGAAATTCTTGTGGCCAAAGAACTGGGGAAGTGAGCCCCACCTTGTGCAGTCATGTATTTTACCTCACCTATGGAATAGCCAATATAGGAAGCCTTATTCGTTCTTAGTGGCAGGGACACCAAATGGGTCATGTGGTAGCTTAAAGTGTTGGTTGTCTAATACCCTCCCTGTTTCCTAGTGTTTCTCTGGAAAAACCAAAGGATATATCCATTTGATTAGTTTCAAAGGGTTCAATCATCATGACTGCTGCAGAATTGGGGTTTTTACTTCATACCTTTCAAGCTAATTTTATCTAGTGGATATGAAATAGGTCAGTAAACTTAAGGATACTGAAGATGGAAGTCCTTTCAGCTAACTGCTGCAGGAAAAAAGATATTTTGGGTCTCCCTGTACTTAGATCTCTTCAGTCTTCAGAAATACAGGGATTTATCATGATGTGTGGCAGTGTGCCATAACCCATACTAAAAACAAGGAGGAGTACTTGTGGCACCTTATAGACTAACACATTTATTTGGACATAAGCTTTTTTTGGTTAAAACCCACTCCATCTGATCTATAAGGTGCCACAAGTACTCCTTGTTGTTTTTGCTGATAGACTAACATGGCTACCACTCTGAAACCTATAATCTATAACTTTAAGTATACTCTGTGATTCTAAAATTAACCTTTCTGTTTTATTCTCTGGTTGTCACTGGAAACTTTCAGTGTCTTCAACTCCACTGTTACTGCAGGGTACTGTGTTCCCCAGCTCAGTATCTGAGTTCATTTGGGCTTGGAAAACAGCTCTTCTCCACAAATGAACTAAGAGTAATGAGGTAAAATGATTAAGGCTGTACTTAAGCTATTCTTGTAACCAACTGGGAATATTGTGTATGGGAACTCATACTTCCAGTTGTTCTTCACAGTGCATATAAATGTGCTGTACACTTTTGAGAAGTATCAGTGTGAATCTTGTGTTTGAACTTGAATACCCTCTCAGTCATATTTAAACTACTGCATATACTTGTACATACGCCAAATTTTTTTGGGAAAAAAGTGAAGCATCAAAGAGCAGGGGTCGGCTTATCAACGGATCTATAGCAAAATTTGATGATTTTAAGCTCTAGTGAATTGAATATCTAATACAGTGTCGTTTTGTTTACCTGGAGCATTCGCAGGCACAGAGCTCCTCAGCTCCCAGTGGCCGCAGTTTGCCGTTGCAGCTCCCATTGGCTGGGAACGGCGAATCGCAGCCATTGGGAGCTGAGGGGCTCCGTGCCTGCCAACTCTCCAGGTAAACAAAATGTACAGGCCCACTAGCGGCTTACCCTGATGGGCTGGAAGCCAAAGTTTGCTGACCCTGAAGTATAAGGTTGGCTTATGAAAGGGTCATACCATTTTTGCTGTTTTTTACCTATCCATCTTGAGGGGTCGGCTTATAAACGAATGGGCTAATGAACAAGTATATACAATAGTTCTTATCATAAAATGTGATCCTGTAAATGTAAGATGGAGGAAGAAATTTAAGGCAGGTTACATAAAATAAGCAGGGAATTAAGTGCAAAATGTGGTGCTGGGCTGGGAAAAATCCTCGTGAGCAGAGTCTTTGACTGCAGTGCATGCCCATCCAGATTATTGCACTAGAATACCGGCACTCTGTCCTAACTCTTTCAGCAGAGCAGGGCATTGCTTCCCTAATGTGGAGGATCTTACACAGGCACTCCATCAAGAGGAGCATTTTAACTTAAGACCTATGGCTCTTTCTGATGCTTATTCTTTTCATTATTTTAATTCTATTGCCAAAGAAAAACAGCACCCAGTGCAAACTCTAGACACTGACATTTTCTTTAATGAAGACACACAAAATAAATAACTGCATTTTATTTTCAGAACACCGTACCTGGTCCATGGCAAAGTGACTTAAATTCTCGACCATGCGCATAGAAACCCACTATACTCTCCTCCTTTGACCCCACCTCTCCAGTCTCCTCCTTTATAATGAGCTGGGGGGCGGGGAGGGAGGGGCGACTTTGCATCACAGTTAAATTCTGGCTATTAAAACTACAAAATGATTGAAAACTTGTTAACAGTAACTTGTACTAGGAACTGTTTTCTCATCTGTAATAAAGGAGTGGGTGTCAGATAAGTGAGTGGTTGATAGGCAGTTCTAACAATCTTTTTTTAAATAAGCCTCTAAAGATGCTTGGTGACAGCTGCTTCCTTGGAGATGAGTCTAAGAAGCCTGAGGAGACCTTAATAAATTTTAAAACTTGCTTTGCTTTTGTACAGCAGAAGTGTATCTATCCTAAACTGCAGGCAGCCTGACATTTAAAATATAATCCAAACCAATCAAACTCTACCTTCTAACAGAACAAATATTAAGAATTATTTAGAATCTACAAATAAATTCTTTTGATATTTCAGTACCATACTCTGTGTCATTGAACATCAGATTTGCTAAGCATCTCATTCAGCTGCCTGCACTGTTCGTGTGTCTCTTAGCCGTATGCAGTAATTCCCATGTTTTTGTTCTGGACTTGATGGAACCCTGACAGTTAAATCTTGCATATGTTTTTCTAAGGCAGGGATGGATCTTTGTTTTGCATCTGGTTAGGTAAATTCTTCCTAGTGATGCAGAATTACTGGTTTTCTTCTGGGAAGGTTTTATTCCCTTGTGCTGCCTGTGCTTACTGGATTTTGCATTAATGTCCCAATTTTTGCAACATGGCTGCCATTTTTTTGTTTGACACTATACCAATATACATGCACAAAATTGATAAGTGCATAAGTGTTGTTTGCTTGTACAAATTGTTTGTATCAAAATTATCTTAAATTAGTTCCTTGTGCTGTGAACTCTACTTCCATCATGCTATAGGGGATTACACTGCATGTGTGGGTAGTGAACCAGTTAGAAGCGCCATAAAGCTATGGCGTAGAGAGGATGTGGAGTAAGGGGTTTTGACTAATACCCTAGTTCTCGAAGAATATCCAAGGATTACTTATGGATTTTAGGAAGCCACAGGGTTGGAGAGCACCACTCCATACCTGCTGTGGTTGATGGAAATTAGTAAGTGCAGCTTTGCAGAAAACACCACATGTTGGGGAATGTACAGTTTCCTTGCCCTTGTGTGGTTATTTCCCTTAAGAAGACATGCTCTGCCTCAGTTTAGGCCCTTGTGAGCCTTGATTTTTATCTCCTTTAAAGGGATATCTACTGCTTCCTAACATGTCAAGCCTCCATGCTTGTCTCACTTCATTCACAAGCTACGTAATTTGCATTAAAACCAACAATACTCTTCCTCCCAACACACATGTTCTACTCTCTCCTGTCACATGCCCTCAAATTTCAGAACCGCTTTAAATAAACTGAGGTCTGGGGATTTCGTGTGTGGGTCTTGTACCCTTTCCTCCCTACCACTGAGTAAGCTTAAGAGAAGTGAGGGAAAGTAGGCCAGGCTGGGTCCAAGGACCAGGGAAATAACAGCAGAGGTTACCAGATCAGGGAAGCTGAGGAATTTAGACCCTACAGCTTGGCACACAATGCCTTCACCTGACCACCTTTATATATTACCCTCTGTATCACTTGGAGGGTAGCGGAGAACAAGTTAAAGGAGGAAAACTGCAAGCTTTGACAAGTCCCTACATTTAAAACAAAGATCTAATCAGTAGCTCTGTTTCTACCTTCCATCCCTTACACTGTCTGCAATTCTAATAGAGGAAAGAGGAAACACAATGTTTGCAATCGGGTAATATCCAACTGAAGAAGAGGTGAGATCATATTAATAGGTATAATTCCTAGGCAGTTGAGATGGGGCTCAAATATTTCACATACTCAAGCTGCAGCAATTATCCAAGTCACTTTACAAGCTATACCATGCACTGCTTGTAAAACTGTTTAGGTACTTGACAAACCAGCCACTAAATACTCATATTTGAAGTGTCAATGCTGGGAATTGAGTGGTGAATGATGCCACTTTTGGAAACAGGAATATGAAAGAAAGATAGTTGTTTCCAATACTAGCAGTTTACAATTACATTGTCTGAGTCCTTATACGTTTCTTGATTGAAGCTATTTTAACTTGCGTTTGGATGATCGTGTTCCATTTGGTTTTAATTTTGTGGCCTTTGCGATGCTTTGGTGTTCAGCAAGGGATTAAGTCGTGCCTGTCTGTCATCTCTGGGTGCCTTAAATGTTTTGCTGCTGTGGTTCACAGCTCTGACACCAACAGCCAGTATACAAGCATGCATGTCACATGTTGGCCTCCCTCCCCAGTTACTCTTTTGCAGGGGGACCTCGAGGATCCTTTTAGCTCTGTCTGCAGTGTTCAGCCCCTCTTCCTATAGCACCAACAAAACCTTATCAAGTTTTCTGCTCCTTTACAGAGAGTACACAGCAGTTTAGCTAGGGTTGACAAACCGTCTGCTTCAATCAAAGCACTGAGTTGGTAAAATTAAATAGGCTTATTACAAAAGGACATAGGTTTAAGTGATACCACATATAAAGGAATAAGGATAGACATGATACAAAAATAAAAGTATGCTTAAGACTTTGAATAGTTGAGTTTTAAAGAAGGTTCTCACCAGTCCTTCAGCCAGGCTCCAACACACAGAGCTCCAAGTGCTTTGTTTCTTTGACTCCTTAGCTGAGGATAATTTAGGGGTTCACTCACCCTCTCTTTGTAGCCCAGGCACCCTTTGAAATGTGGTGGTCTGAAATGTATCCCCAGATCGAGTTCCTTTTCCCTCCTGGGTGCTGATGCCATGCTAGTTTGTGTTTTTTACAATACAAATGATCTTCCTGTAATCTCAGATACAACTGCCTAGCCCACTGTCTTTGGGTCACACCAGGCTTGAGGTAGTTGCCCCTTTCCTTTGTCTGTAAGAACCTGTTAATCAACTTCCCCTGACATGCCTGGTTTAGACACATTTTAGTCACATTTCCAACACATCTGTATAATTCTTTGTCTGTTAACCATACGTTAATCATGCAAGAATGTTAGTGAGCTATTAGTTTTTTAATGATCTAATACATGCTACTTTCTGGATAAACATAATGACAGCAGTTTGTGCGGGACAGTGAGTGTCAGATCTGACAAGCGCTGACACAGTAGTGAACCATCAGTAGGCCTCTCTGTCACACTTACTCACAGGAGTAATTCTCTTTTTTTTCAGATCTTGTCACATGTCTAAGGATTAATGGACTGGGATATGTGTGACTACTGTTGTTATGCAAGAATACATTTGCTGAATTGTGGAAGCCAGATGCATAACTGGTGTAACTACCTACTTCAATTTACTAGTTTTAAAATGCATTGTACGTAACTGGAGCCGCAGCAACTTGTGGTCATTAGATGTATGTGATTTTTAAGTGTTGCATTATTAGTCTCAAAGGCAAAGACAAATTGGTTGAAATCCTGGCTCTACTCAGTGTATGGGTGTAGATAATTCAGATATACTAAATGTTTAAGTATCAATATCTTTAGATTCCTTAATTGTTGTTCTCTAGTTTTCTTCAGATTCTTCCTCACTGCTAGTAGATTCTTCTCCAAATAAGTCTCGATCAGTAAAATTCACAGTGACTTTGGCACTCGATTTTTTTCAAGATAAGAGCAGGGCTGTCACTCATACCCACAAGAATTGTCTTCCTGTCCAGAGCTACTGTTAGGCAGGAGATCTTGCTGTCAGGTGTAAAGACAGACATAACTGAACAGTCGTCCAAGTCCCACAGACTTACTTCACCTAAAAGAAATAAAGATGTCACATCACTGTACGTAATTTGTCCTAATTAAAACAAATGCTTTGTTTCTGGCTTGGCAGATATTGGTGGCTTCAAAACAAGCAGTTTTGGTATTTGCATCGTGACTCTTGCTAGACAGCTGACTTCCTTAAGACTCTTACCTGAATATAGAATTCCATTATGTCGAGGACTCGAACCCCCAGACGGCATGGTTCGTTGTCTGACCGGAGAGAGACAGGCAACACCAGCAAGGTCCGAACACAAAGCTCTTTATTGAAGAGTGCACACAACAATAGAGAGCAGCCTGTCTCCAAACAGAACCAGCAGCTTCTAAGTAAAACTAATAGGTTTTTATAGATAGTTTCATTGCGTCACAGATTTATTCATAAAGCAGCCCACCCCTCCCCTATGTTAGTTAAAATCCTCTTTCTCTATTATGCATGCACCTCTACCCCCTTATTGTAGATAACTTTTAGCAAATTGCAATGCTTCACTAACTTTCTTATCGGTATGGATGTCAACCAGGAGACGAGGAGTTAAGAACAGACATAACACAAGAACAGGGAGTGGAAAACAGTGCCTCCTATCTCAACAAACTGTTCCTGGAACATTTGGTGCAAGAATGCAGGCCTCCCATTTTTTCTTACTCCCTGCAACTTAAACAAGTATTCTTTTATTCTATTTATCTCGTTCAGGAACTTTCCCAGCAACCTTTATTGGCCTGACTTTGGTTTGGTTGGCATAACTGCTTCATATTTAATTTCTCACCTAACAATTAGAACTAGACAGAAACTGACCATTCTGATTTGCAAAACTTCTACATAACAAAACCAAAACCTTGGGAAATTTTTCACAAAACTCAGTGGTCAAAACATCAGATTTTAAATTAAAATGGTCATGTTTCTGAACTTTCCAACCCTGGACTTGTCACCTGGATTGGCTGAAACTGATGTCTTCTCAAAACCTTTTGGTTTTGATAAAATTACTTCTATTTAAAAAAAAAAGTTAGGTCAAATTTTGTGCTTCATCTTAAATTCCACCTCTTCCTTCTTAAGAAGGGCAATTCCATAAGGTCCTAGTCAGAGATACAAGTTTGCCTGTGAGCCCACAGTAAATATTTTCAAATTGAGCTGCAAATACCTGGGGTGTGCTGTCCTATTCATAACAATAGTGATGGCTGAACCATTACTCCCAAATGAGGCAGAGCCTTTGAACAGCAGGTTCAGATCAGGTTTCTCTCTTTACTCCCTATCTTCTGCATCAGAGGTTGAGGGAGGGGGAGGAGAAATATAGTTACAACAACCTCCTCCTGTGATCCTATAGCCCAGACTGTTACTATTTACATTAGCTGGTAGCAGAAGGCTGTGCTTTTTCCAGAGTAGGGGATGGATTGCTGGGTTGGGGTTAGTTGAGGGGGAGCCCAGTGTGGCTCTCAGCTGCCCAAGAGTGGGAAGTTCCTGTCTTGTTGCCTCAAGAAGAGGGGATTGGCACTATGTGCACAGGCCACCCCACTTCCACCTGGGAGCTGGGAAAAGCTTCTGCTTCATGTCCCTGTGGGGGAGATGTAAAATGGGTTACTAGAGCCACATGCTGGGTTCAGGGGCTTACAAGGGCCCTGCTCCCTTCTTACCAGTCAGATCTCTAGTAATCTCACTCGCGTTACAAGAAGTTTTTGGCTTTAATACCACTAAAACAAATACAATTAAGAGATACAGTAAAGTCTCTTTTCATATTTATCATTCAGTCTTGATAGTACTTTTTAGAACAAGATGGAGAATAGAATTGTAGAAGGTTTAACTGCGGAATAGTAAGTTTCACAAACCTGCAAGTAGTACTGCTTTTGCCCCTCCTTCTAACATATGCAGTTTGCTGTTTATAGTGAGTTGAAGACTTTCATAACCTGGAATAATCTTGTGTTTATGGTGAAATGTATCCCAAACTTTAATCCTAGGAACAGTCAACCAAAAAATATACTTGGTCAATTTTGTAAGAAAAGCCACTCATGAAATA